TCTTATTCCAGGAAATACACAAACATCCCCAGATGTAATTGTGCAGAACTTCAGTGAAAACAGACTGTTGCAATGCAACATCGTGGTACAGTGTAAACACACACGTTCCCACTGCTTATGATCAATAAACTACTGCTGTCCAAACATTTGTACCCAGCATAACTAATTCATGACATACGCTTCATCAAAGTTTCACAGCGCTGCTGCACTTCCAACCACTGCCAGAAAAAGATCCAGATTTAACCACAACTGCATTGCCCTGCACTTTACTATCTGGCTTGTGCATTCCTGCAGCTCCTTGCACTCCAGAGTACCTGCCTTGTAACTGCTAACCGTGGCAGCACTGTCGTGCACTACTCTTGCCCAATACCGTTGTCGGCCCCACACCCACTACCCAATACCCACTAGCACCCTGGCCAATGTTTAAGTGTCAGCCACTTGCAGCAGTGATATGTTGCCCAATGCTTTGTTACCTGGGTCCGACACTCTGCCAGTTCCATGCACAGCGTTCCCAGTGCTTTCAGTGTCCCCTGCCGCATTTTGGCACTGCTCGAAGGCTCCAACAGGAAGCTGCACAGACGTCGAACAGCATCGGCTTCATGTGCGGCGCTTTGCAGTTCCTGGCTGCGCAGGCAACAATGGCAGATCGTCAATCCAGATGGCAGGCCCTATAGTCCTACTCAGCGATACAGGTACAGGGCACTAAAATAGGTTCTTCATAGGGATGCACACTCAAGAGCAAAACCAAACGGTCAGAATCTTGGGCGCTGATAACATGCAAATCCAATGAAGGTCAGATACAACATTAAGTATCAGCACAGGACAAGTTTGTAAAATGCCCTATCAAGAATGTGTTCTCTCCACATGCAGCACAGCACCAGCCTGAAAATCAGTGCTTGCGATTGCCGGGCACAATGATAATGCCAGGAACTCAATATCTTCATCTTAAACATCAAGAGCAGGGCTCCTTTTGAGGAACAGCGACCAATACAGTACCCAACAAAGACAAACCAAGCTGTCACATTTATGGAATGAAGATATGGCCCTGCAACTTCTGGCAGCAAAGGCAGTGCTGGAGGTCATCGTCTTGAATGATGCACACCCAGGTCGCTACAGCAAGATACTGGAATCCTTGGCATGTTATGCGTAGCATCATTTCTGGGCCATTGCCTGCTCAGGAGGGAGCCGGCTCAGTGCACACCTGCTCTTGTATCTCTTGATAATTCTATTTATTCCACAGTCTGCAATATGATCTCTCCAAACCACAGAATTACAACAATAACAGTGAATAATAAATGACAAACATACTACTCATAAGCAATGGAAGGTGCCAGGAGCCAGATGCACACCTTGCCTCAGTCAGCCTGGACAAGACCTCTGGCACCTGTTCCCTGATTGTAGGTTCGTTCAACAGCTTTACCAACACCTGAAGAACGTGCTTGTATCTGTGCTTCATCTCCTGGGCAGCAAAGAAAGTGATGCAATCCAGCACTGCAGCCACCAGCAAAATGCAAAACACAGGCCAAACTGTTAATTGATCAGGACAAACGGGAATTGAGACTTGATCCTTTGACTTCGCAGATTGTTAGCCGGCTGATTCTTCATTGATCTGGCCACCAAAATATGAACTGCAGGAAAACACCCCGTACTCATTTTCAGTTCAGGAACTGGCACTTTTATTTCCTTTCCTTTTCAACCATCTTTCAGCATTTTGTCCTGTTGCGCTGCACGATTCAACGACATACTATATGGCAACACACATCAAAGGTGATGCAAAGTCATGTTGCCGTTGTGCTTAACATTCTCACGAAGCCAACGATTGTCCTGGGATGAATACCATATAGTCGTGCTGAGAACACTGTTGTACAATATTTTAATGCATGACATCCAAAAACAATGGGCCAACCACATTGTATTCTTTTGATGCTAGAGAAGCCTAGAGCCGAATAGAAATTTGTGCAGCATCCTTGCTTGCAGGTTCCTCCCTCACCCCTTCCATGTTGTCCCAGTCAGAGGAGCATGCCAGATTGGTGAGGCAGGAGCAGGCCAGCAGACGTATGCTGGGGCTCCGGTTCTTTGTGAAGCGCACCAACTCGTCGTCCACACCTGGGTGCTGCATCACCTGCTGGCAAACCTCGTCGTTTCGCATGGACAGAGCTGCCAGAGCATCCAGCGCCGATTGCTGGGAAGAGAGCAAACAGAGGCTCAGCTGCAATCAGGGTAGGGTGCCATAAGAAGGCATCAGAATAGTATCAACTATGAGATGACTCTCAGCATCAGGCAAGACGGAAGTTACCATGCATGGGGTACAAAAATCCACTAGAAATAGTCCAAAGGCTGAGGCCAAACTCCCATTAGGGCCTGGATGGGATCTACCACGATTTGTGTGTTGCTTTGAAAAGACATTGGCACACAGATACATAATATAAGACATGAAGGGATGCGATGTGAGACACAAAAGGCAATTCATCTCTGAACCCCACCAGACATGAGTTGCTAAAGTGCACACCTGACAGCTCTTGTAGGGTGACTTAAGCAGTTGCAGGAGCCCATGCAGTGCCCCAGCCTGGAGCAGCAGCTCTTGCTGTTTGCACACACAAGGCACCTGGCGGTCAATGAAAGAATTGCTGGCACAAAAACAACAATCATACACATGGCAGAAAACTGTCAAAGCCTGTTTGAAGCAATGAGGGTGGAGCATGTTCCTGCCCTCAGTTCAGCAAGAGGACCTAGTTTTTCAGTGCCCCACAGATATTGAACTCAGCTGAGCTGATATAGCTTGCCATGCATGTACTTCATGAGCAACACAAAATCCACATCATGTGTTGCACCATATGGCCCATCAATATACCAAACAATGCAGTTCGTGTAGAGGCATATCCAAACCCTCAACCCCTGCCAGCTCAAGAACCCCAACAGTGCCTGACAGGTACAGGGGCAGCGATGATCATGTGCCAGAATATGCAACTACACAGATTGTGATCTGCAGAGATCAAGGCGTGTACCTGCTGGGCTGTGTGGCAGCACCTGGCGAGCACACTTGCAGACATCTGGGAGAATGTGCGCTTGCCACTGGAAAGCAGTGCCACCAGCCGTTCCAGTGCAGGATCCGCAAAGATCTGATCTTTCGGTGCCCTCATCGACTGTGTCAGGACACACACTGACATGGCTCAGATGGAATGAAGTTGACTAATGCATCTCCCTTGAGTCCCTTCTGGCATCACTCGGCGAACAAACTGACATCAACTCCAGGCAAGCCATAGCACTGTCCATCACCCCACCACACAACTGGTTCCAAAATAGATTCTCAAAGTGATGTTGCACTGTATGCATTTGGACCTCCAAGAAAATCCTGTACAGAACTGCCCAGGCTCGTTTTCACAGTGCAAGATGTACAAAATCTTTGAGTACAAAAATGCATACAGCCAAAGGTAACACAAATACCAAGCACATTCTTGCAATTCTTCCGAACAAGTGCAACCAACCCATGCCTACGTCATCTGTGTTGGGGCTCTTGCTCCTGAGTTCATGACCAGACAGCCACAGTGTGCGCCAGACGGCTGCCTCTGCTACCCTTTCCCCTTTCTTTTTCCCAAGAGAATCGTCCTGGTACAGGACTTCTTGCATCTACCGGCCCTCTGGTGGATTCTCTCAATCAACACTGTGTAGGCTGCTGGGAGGACCATTCAGTTGATCAGGACCACCCATTCCTACCAAGGAATGATGTTCTGATGCACAGGACTTACAACAACTCCAGCTGGCCTCAACAAGTCTTACCAAGAGTAGGCTATTGGTCCACCTCAGCCTTGTGCATCAGCCAAGGACAATCCCATGGGAGGCATTAAGCCAATAGAACACAGGGCATCCAACCAAGAATCAAACACACGGGCAGGTGTTTAGGTGGCAGGAATCCAAAGCCAAGTTCTAAGGTACAGCACTTGTGGCATCACGTTGATGACAATCCATTCCTGGTTGTGCTTTCTGAAATCCACACGTGCCCAACCCCAACATAGCTTTGTAAGACAACACAGACTGTGGGTGATTGGCATCCACATTTTCAGGACAAATGGCTATGGAACAGCTGCCCTGTGTAAATTGAAGCTGACACACATCATACAGTGGACAACCCCATGCAAGCTGAGTTGTGCATTTTTCTATTCCGCTCTGAGATGTCTGTGTCCTCAAGTAAGGTATGCAACATAATCCAACAAACATATTTACCCATGAGCAGATGCTGCCTGTGAAATGGTTTCAATTCTGCCAAAACACAAACACAAAGCCCACCCAGCCAGGAGCTGCAAGTTCTTTCTCAGTTATCAGGGTGGTCCAGCTGTCTCCAAGCCACAAAGGGGAATACTGCGAGCAACACGCTACACCAGGCAGTTTAGATTGTAGGCCCACAAATGTGAAGGCCTCCCTCGCTTGGTGGTGAGCACAGTTTGGGGCTCCACAATATGGTAGCAACACCACAAGTGAATCGCTTGGCCCGTGCGCACTTCTGTCTGGGAACGGACCTTGCCATGATGGTCTCCTGTTCTGAAATATAGGCAGCAAAGTAGTGGCATGATCTCCACCAACCTGGAAAATCATCTTCAGCGACCTCACACCGGCCTCCACCACCTTATCATCCTTGCTCTGCAGCGTCTTCAGCAAATGGGACATGCCACCACTGCAGGGTCCACAACCCAGCAGGGATTGTCAGCAAGAAGAGTAAGAACCTCCTACATTGGGTGCCCTATCTGCTTTCCTAATACTACAAGGCGATCTAGAAAATTCTTTCTTTGGTCAGAAGAGAAGTGTTTTCACGCACTGTCATTCCCACACTCCAACAATGGCCACTCATGGCTGGCTGCTAGGCCCGTGTTAGTGTGTCCCGTGCTCCAGGCCTACAGCCAGCCTAAAACAATGTTGGCCCTACACTCAAAACCGACAAAAACTAGGCCTCGTGTCCAAGGTCGGGCTCAAACAGGCACGGGTGCCTTGGAACGTGCCGACATCGGCCCAAACCCGTCAAGTCCAACAACCCAATCAATCGAGGCCAAATGATGTCTCCCAAGCTGCAGGGATAAGGATTGGAATGCTTGGGGCACTGGAGTGGACCCAGGCCTCCCTTCCCTTTTCGGCCTGCCTTGTTGCACCATAAAATGGACGAAATTCCCATATCCAGGCGTGCCAGAATGCCCATGCCCATCAGCGCCCGTCCCCATCTCCGCGCAGCTGATCCCCAAAAGTACCGCTGTGCGGCACCCCAAGCCACGCCGCCCGCCGGCAGGTCACCTGTCAAGGATCGCCACCACGCCGTCGTCCATGCCGTAGGCGAAGCTTCCCACCGTGGCCGCCGACTGCACCAGCAGGCCGCTCTCGCTCTCCCGCGCTAGGATCTCCACCACACGCGGCACGGCGCCCATCTTAATGAACAGCATCTTCTTGTGCTTGCTGCCCACGATCTCGTTCTTGAGGCCACGCACCGATCGCAGCTTCACGCATTGGTCGTAGGCGCCGAGGCCGTCGACCAGATCCTGCGGTCGCGGCGCCATGGCGGCCTGCGGGGGGTGCCCGGCGCTCTGGCCGGCGTTGCGGTCGGCGCCCGGGTCGACCGGCGCCTGTGGGCGAGCGCAGCAGGGGGGATGGGCTGCCGGGCTTGGTTGGCTGCGCCCAAGCGCGCTGTGGGAAGAGGGGGGGAATCTGCGGTTCAAGAACGGGCGTTCGCTTTCTTTTGTTCAAACAACAGGCGTGTTTTTTTTCTGGGTTGGAGAGCAGACGTTCGTTTGTCTGTTGGCAGATGACACGTCAGCCAAGCTGCGACGCTGTCTTCTTGCCGAATCGTACAATGCGATATTTTGGCGGCTCAAATAAACTTCTTGCGGCCAGCAGCTTCTCCAATATAACTAGCCGTTAATACGTTGTGGTGGCGTCAGCTGTCAAATTTAGTGTGTGCGCCGTGACAGCTCACCCATGTGGCGCGGCTGCAAACAGTGTCGGTCTCCATCCGGTGATAGCAGGCTTGGTTTTTACGTTTACGTTTACGTTTTTACTTTTACGTTTTTGCGCGAAAAAACGTAAATCTGCAAAAGGACCTGTTTTAACGGCTATTTTTACATTTTTATGGCTCCCTGGAACACCCAGGTCACGCGATGAAAGTTGCGTATAATGGTCAGTCCTCCGCCATCTCCAGCACCTACAACACAATGTCCATCTCGCCCTTGGCAAGGGCGATAATGGCGTTTAACAAAAACTCGTTTCTGCCCCTTCCAGGGCGTCTGGCTGCCACTCTCCCGACTCTGTAAGTCTGTATGTACTGTCCTTATGTACACTGTGCAATTTTTACGTTGTATTTACGAATTTTGACGCATTTTTACGCATAAAAACGTAAATGCAATCAGTTTTTACGGCGTAAAAACCAAGCCTGGGTGATAGCACTTCGGGAGCATCAGGACAGTACGAATTGTAGTGGCGAAACCATGCATCCCTTCCATCCTCCTCCAAGAAGCAGCAACTAGCGCGGCTGCACGGGTGTCACCCCGAGCCCACTTGCAGTAAGCTTACTGAAAATAACACTTTTCGGCAATTTTTAACACATTCTGAGCACATTTTGAACACGTTTTACCCAGTTGCAACACATTTGAACACGTGTTATTTGGCCCTTTTTTCCCTAGATAAGCGGCCCACCGCATGACATGAGGCTGAACTGCGCTTAGAATCGCTGAGCCCGCAAATACCACAAAGCTGCGCAGCTGTGCTGCTTGGCCAGCTGTGCTGCTTGGCTGTGCTGCTTGAGCATGCTTGGCCAGCGGGTCGTTGGTGCCCAAATCCCACGCCAGATAAACACTGATCATTGCAATCGATGACATGGAGCATTTTTGGCAGCGCTAGTCTACTGCAAGGCGAGGAAAGAGCATGGCATGGTAATGAGTGCGTGGGGCCGCCCCGGAATGGCAAGAGCATCGTCAATTACCACCACAGAAGGTTGAGCACACGAGCGTCGTTTCGGCGTTATGCACCATGCATAAATGGGAAAACTGCAACTAAAACTAGCCCCTATTATTTTCTGACTGCATATTGGAGGCGCCAAGCCGGTTTTGTCAATAGTGGCGCGCCCAACTTGCCCCTCTCGCCCAAAAAACTGTTGGGACAGTTGCTCCCGCAATCCATCAATGCGATTAACCCATGCATGAATGCAAGCTCTTGGTACCGCACAACGCTAGGCTGCCCAGCACGCTCATATTAGAAGGTAAGTTTACTGTCACATCTTGTGGCCGTAATGAATCAAACTGCATCTGCATTTAAACACACAAAATTCTACGGAAATGCACGCAAGTAACGCGTGTTGGGAAACCGATGCATATTGTTATGTCACTTGGACGAATTCGTGTCCTCGATACCATGGCTGCATCTACCAGTGGTCAGCGCCAATTCTGCGCAAAACATTCCAATGATATTTACTTCCTCCATGTCAATATGAATGGCGGTTATGATTTGCGGCCTTGGAGAAACCCATCAAAACACCTTCAATAGCACTCGGTTTTTGCCGGGTATTAAATTTGGTGTCAATTTTGGTCCACCGAGTTTCTAGATCGATCGGACAAGTACTGAGGGAGGTGTGACCCCTCATACACGGACATGTCGGACCAAACGCCGTGCAAGTCTCAAGGTGGCTCAGAAAACGGCCCCTGGCGAATTGCATCCCCCACCACCCAGCGGAGAAGCGAGGGCAGCCCACACGAAGAAGGCAGCAACAGGTTCGAGTTGCCCCACGTTAGCACGGAGCAATAGCAGAACAGGGGGAGTTCACGTCGGAGGTTGCTGTATGCTGCAATTGGTGACTAATGCAACACGCTATTTTGGGCGTGGTGCAACGGCCTGAGATTTCATTTATGTGGTAGATGAGGGTGGTTCCTAAATGTTTGACACCTGGCCTTTCCTTTTTGATGTTATTTGTATGTTTGAACAGAATGTGAAACTGATTGCGTCGATTTTGATAACCGCCATTCTTCTTGGGACGGAGGAAGTGCAGCCGCCTTGAACAGATGATCGCGGATGTCTCTGACGGGCAATGATATTATGGACACAATGATGGTGTAAGACATTGTTGTGGACAGGTCGTGAGGACTCCCGTTTAAAGGAAACTCATCTGAACGGAAGTTCAGAAACTTCAATGAAGGACTTCATTGGCATTTGCAGTTCCGCAGTTGAAGAAGTTGATATGAAGGACACACAACAAATGGGTGCGGGCATCTACAGTATATGCTGTTCGTCTTTTAGTTTGCCCTTCTCAGCGTAGTTTTATACAGACCTTAAAGCGATCAATATATCGATGCGAAAAAACATTTGGTGATCCAAAACATCATTTGCCACCATTATCGATCAAATCTTCATGACAGATCAATTGTCTTGATAGCTGCCGCCCATGCAGATGTAGGATAGCGAGGATAGCGATGCTGAACTTCGTTATGGATAGCGTCCTTGCGCTCCAGCTCATTGAATGTCGAGCAAATTCGCCTTCGAATGGAACTTGGGCAATGCACCGCCCGATGCTCTAACCATTAAGCTCTCTGACTTGGAGAGGTCTGTACTGGAGTCATCTCTGCAATGCAGAGTATACATGTGCACGTCCTGTAGTACAGATCGGAAAAGGATGGAACGCATGGATTGAATCTTCTCAGCACCACCACGACCGGGTTTGTGGATGTAATGAATGCTTCGCACCAAATTGTGCAAGCAGAGTTTTAAGTTCTGGGGATGTGGGATCTTGGCCCGGTTTCGATCCTGTGAATAATTGCTCAAGTCGTAGCAGCGGCTCAGGCGATAAGAGCGAGGGCGGCTTTGAGTGCATTATGGGGAAGAAACTGTTTGTTGTGCAACGGATGACAGTTATTGCGAAAACAAATATTCTTGATTTGGGAATGAACCTTCCAAATTTGACATAGCGCCCACCCTAACACAGAATTTTCAACAACTTGAGCCCGGACGCGCTCGGACGCGTCAAAGCCGCTCGGAAACCGCGCGGACGGGCCCCTTTTCCCGTAGCGACACAGAAATTTTGGAGGCCTTCTTCGGAACAAGTGGTACGCGGATATTCCTTTGGCAAATGCCCAACATCCTGGAAGCCATCTGAGGCCGTACAAACCATTTGTAGTCGCCTAGAAATCTGCAATAGCAACATAGTCATCTAGTCGCATAGTCCTCGACTGGCGCTGCTACTCGGGTCGGATACTGGTGGCCAGGCAAATGAACATGCCAGGCACAAGTTCTGCACCCTGTGGAAAGGTCCTTCCGGCCCTGGGTAAATCAATCAATCAAGATTCCTTAAATGTGACGCTCCAACAACTAAGGTCACGGCGCCTACCGGCCCTGGGTCGAAACTCCCAGCTGTCTGCCCTCCCAATCTTGTAGTGGCCCCTGCACTGTGTGGCGAGTTCCACAACATAAACGAGGGCGCTTTCGACGATGTGCGGTTTCCGTTTGCCTACGCCAGTAGAAAATGCCATTTTGGCAGTGCAGGCTGCGACGCCATGTTGCGCCAGCTGATGCCATCGCAATCTCTGTGATGTTGTCACTTTTGTCGAAACGATACCGCAGCAGGTATCGCCAAACTGGCACTTTCTATCAGTGCTAGCTTAGTCTTCAAGGGGAACAACTCTGGAGTTTGGGCGGGCAATTTGCGAATCGTGATCGTGATAATTGCCGAGGTCCTTCCTCGGAGTTAAGTTGTACTCCAGTAATATTCGACTATGCGGCATTCTCACCATATCATCGCTCTGGTAATATTCATACCATTTGTGCAATTCAGACAATCTGAGTACAAAGGATGTGGCGGTAACCACCCGACCTGGAGACCCGATTTTAAGCAATGAAGTATACCCGACACAAGTGCCAGGTGAGACATGTTTGGCTGCCATTCAAAATACGGATTGAGCTCACGCAAAATGACATAAATTCAGAATACGCTCCGATCAAAAATTAGCAATCCACAACAACGCTAGCAAGACCAGGACGGCAATGCGGAGCCCTTCACTGAAAGCTCCACGGAGTCCCACGTGCTGCCAGCCCCATCAAGGATCACCAGCCCTACCCCAACGCGTCTGCCCAGGCGCACAGCCCCAATGTTTTCATGAGGTTTGTGCAGCCATGAGTGCATTCACTCCAGACGTTGTTGATCAATTCTCTAGCCCTACATTGACACGTGACTGGGTGCCGGTCGCACCCCATGCCTAGCCCATTTTATCCCATACCCCGAATTAGCAAAACGCAGCTCTGGCCCCCTGAGACCCATTAGAATAGCACAGCGGCACCGGGTAAGACATAGAACCCGATGGCCACAGGTCGGTCATTGCGATTTATCCAAGTGATGCGACTGGGCAGCGCCAAAAATTGTGCAGGCTGCAGCGCTGCCACTGTCAATTAGCAACTTCAGGGCAACGCAGCATCGCGAGGAAGCGGACTTCCGCTGTCCCCGGGATGGCGAGCATCGAATAAGCCTGCGGTAGTAGTGGAGGTCGCCTCCTGCATGCCCCCCGAGATCCCATGCTTTTGTTCTCGCTCCTGCAAGATGGCAAAATTTGTCAACGGTCAGCAGTGCTGGCTCAGGGCAACGCTCTGGACTGGATCCGAATACTCAGCTCTGCGCATTGGTCAGAATCGACCACACTGCAGGCCCTTGACTTAACCCAAACTCCATGTAGACCACATGCCACGTTGTTAGCCAGGCGGACAACTGCCAAAGGGCCGGAAATGCCCCTTTCAGACAAATCCATCGTGGAGATATTGAAAACGACTCCCAACGGAGCAGGTAAAGGCACACAACGCTCAGTGGCACGTACTGGGAGAATGGACAAACGCCTGGGCATCAGGATCAAAACAAATTTTTTAATGACAACGTATGGATGTTGAACTGGGATTGAAGCGGACTCGACCCTCTCACCTGAAATATGCGGGTATCAGATGGGCGGAACTGGTCCTCGAAAGCCATCATGCTGAAATCCAACAGGATGGAGAACATGGGCGCTCCGATAACAGCAGAGAGCCAAAAGGCTGGAACAGAAAACAGCCTTTGGGCCACCCCTGCCATGTCTGGCAGCACCTCCCACCACTGCCACAGGAGACTGCACACGTACATAAAAGGGAACCACATGCCAATACTGATGCCCCAGATCACCAGCGCATTCAAGGCAGTCCAGTGGTGGGTCCGCACAGCAACCTGCACAATGGTGAATGCAAGGATCATTGATAGAAAGCAGCGGCTTACAAAAGCAGGTAGCAACTCAAGTGTGTTTAGGTGTTGTGGCTAGCACCGCCTTGACGAGAATGCTGCGATAACTGTTAAAGCATCGCCAAAACGACGAACGGAGGACTGAATCCAAGATGGGAGTCATCTTTGGGAACGGGTATACAGACAATCAATAGAAGCAGCAGATTTGAAACAAACAACCTCGATTGGAATCCATACATAGCTACTAAGCATTGGTGGCTATCATATTCTTCACAAATGCACCTGTTGGCATGCCAGCACACATGCATGCCGGCTGATACTGTCACCTGTTGGAGGTTTGCAACTGCCGCCACCTGAAACATCCAACTTTGGTACTGACCCCAAATAAGCAGAACAATTGGCAGCCTGCCCACGAACATGATAACCCTTCTGCAGCAACCTTGAGGCAGCCACTAGCATGAAGGGGTTGCAGCAATGGTGCTTGTGTGGTGGTGCAGAGCTGTGAATGCTTCGTCTCTTGTGGTCCGAGCACAGAGTTGGATCTTTGGATGGAACTGGGTGCTTAACACATGGCTGCAACCAACATGGATGCACGCTTTAGGGGGTGGCTCGTGCATGTTTTTGCTCCAGGGGTGCCCACCCTTGCTTTATGTTCTGTTTGCTGGCGGTCATTATGAGCTTCATTTTGTTCCTTTGGAACTCACACAACTATTCCTCTGAGGAAATAGTGTTGGAAAACTACTGGATCCTTGCACTGCTGCAGAATCTGGGCAAACTGCTGGCTCACCTGCTGAATTGTAATGGCTTTAGACCATGGCAGGTACAAGTTCACTGATTCATCTTGAGGCCAGTAAGGGTTTTGGACTGGTTGTACTCATTGTGCTCCAGACTGATAGCTGTTGCCAAGCAACTTGTCTCAGCAACGTGACCTGCCGGCCACACCCAAACGATGTCTGTTGCTGGGAGGCCTTTGCACACTTTGGAGGCCCGTCGTCCTTGTGAGGGTTCAACACAGGATTCCAAGGCCCCTGACAATGATGGCACCCACCATAGACTCTAACAGCCTGAGATAACTATGTCTCAGCCCCAAAGAACTTCATTCACAAAAATCAATCTTGGGGCTTATGCCAATTGATGGGTGGGATGTGCTTGATGCAGGATGCTATCTCCTTTTGTCAACAGAGATTCAACATTTCGCTGACTTCCGTTTGCTCCACATGGAGTGCGAGCAATATGCAATAAACTTGCAACACTCACCATCCTGTGCCTTTGTTGCTGGCTAATGCCATAAATGGTGGAGGTAGAAATGAGGCAACAGGCAAAATACAATGTGGGCACCAATCTAAAGGGAGTCTGCCTCTAAACCCCAACCTGGGGAGTCCCCATGGACTTTGAGGTGTATCAAGAACAGCACTGTAGGCCTCACCATTGCCTCCTTACATCACAACTCGAGACTGACGTTGATGACAATACCTAAGAGTGGATGAGGATTTACTCTTGAATGCTTGCACATGCAACAGCAATATCACAAATCATCGTAAACCATCACAAATGAAAATTGTCAGAAAGATCCTGTCAGGCACAAGCGACCCCTATGTCCATCACCTTGAGATTGACGGTGATGATGACAGCTGTGTAGACCGCCACCCCCGCAGCATTTAGTCCAAGCAGTTTTCCATCAGGCTCTGGCCAAACCAGCGCATACATCGGCCATAAGAATACGATTATGGAGTGCACAAGAGCATAGAACAGCCAGCTGCTGAGGCTCCTGAAGAAGCTCCGCCAATCTGAACGCATCGCCTCCATGTACAGCTCCGGTGTCGCCATCATGGTTTCAGCTTGTACATCCTTCTCCAAGATCGCATAGGCAATCGTTGGGAGGGACGTCCAAAATGCGTTGTAGGTCGCAATAAGGGCAGCATTGTACATGGGCTGCGTGGAGAATCCTGTGCACAGACAATATTGAACTTCACACGCCCGTTCATTGGCAACATGCACACATAACTTTGGACATCAGGTGCCACTCAGAACACCAGAAGAATTTGTGTCTTTCATGGCCTTTAATATAGCTATTCTGTAAAGGTAGCCCACAAGGTGTAATTCTTCTGCTGCTCTGGATTCCGCTGTAAACAGGCACCAGAACTAGGAATCAGCAATTGAGGCAGTTAGTTGACTTGGTTTCATAGTTGCACATTGAGCAGTTGAAGGCTGGCTGCGCTTCTGCATCGCATTCATCCTCCCAGCGTAGGGTGACCATCTGATGGCCTCTCTAAGGCAATAAGCATGCAAGCGATTGGCCACAGGTATCAGTCAGTCTGTGTCCTGCTGTGTCACCCCTTGTCTGGCTGACTCAGGTCAACAGCATCTCAACCACACAACATCGAGTGCACATCAAAATGCTGTGTACTTGCTCTCAATCCCAGGCGTCACTTTACACATGCAGCAAGTTAAACAGGGGTCAGCACTTTTGCACCATCCACTGCTCACTGACCCACCTGATATGAAATAGTTCAGGTAGACATTGGCCATCACATATGCAAAATTCTTATAAAACGCATACATCACCACCTCCGTGTTGCGCCTGTACGACCATCTCCCATGCACCAGCAGCAGGCGAGAGAGGAACCTGAACTGTGCCATAGAGAAGTCGCTAGCCAGCACAGCGGCCCGGCCCTCACGACCACTTATTCCCACACCAATGTGTGCAGACTGGATCATGCCCACATCGTTTGCACCATCCCCAATTCCCAAAGCAATCGCCCCTGCTTTGCATTTGACTAAATTTGTCACCTGATCCACACACATACACAAATTTCCTTTGCATCCAAGCTATGCCCATGCAGAGGATGATTTCCAGGTGGTGGCCATATTAGGAGATCTAATGGCACATGACAGAGACACGACTCATTAAAGTGTTGATCCACCATTTAATTTGAGTGCAAACATCGACCTCTAATTCACTTGCTCACTTTGACAGGACAAGATGGCATACCAATTGTATTCATTCTTCAAACTGGCTTTCTTTCTCAGTCCTGAACATCGAGACCCCAAGAGGTTCACCCACAGCAGTAACAGAAGAACGAGGAGCCCAGCACACAACACACCTGTGCCTTTTGCAATGGAGACACTCTGCAGCACACCACAGCCCGACACTGCTTGCACATGCTGAGAAACTCGTCTTGGAACTTGACCTTCAGGACAACTGCCAGGGCGCCCCCATCCACCACCAGCCCCACTGCAGTAGTCAACCCCACCCTTCGTTGTTCGACAGTAAGGCGAATCACATCTTCCCGTGCCTGTGCTAGTGCCTGTGCAACCAAAAAACGCCAGGATTGATTGAAAATCCGTTTCAGTGTAAGCAGATGGAATAAGTGGCCAAGCAAATTCGGCCAAAGGCAAAACAGATTCACATTGTTCACAGCACCGTCGTGGGTCTAAATCTTATTGATGATCTACCAGCACTGGCATAATTGATTTCTATCGACTATACATTCTGGAACACTAAATTCAAGCCACGAACTGTTTTTCTTGAGCCATCAATGAACTGAACGAAAGGGGTGTGACGGGCACTGATGGTCTCATGAATGGGCAAGCAGACAAATTATTCCCTGCTGGGATGGGCCGGCGTTTTCAAAGCCAAATGACAATCCTCACCTGCCCTGATATCTGTGTTGATGATGACATTTGTTGTCACATTTGTTGTTTGTTGTCTGCATTGATCACGTTTGTTTCACCAGCAATGTAGTTGGCAATTGCTGGTATTGCGTTGAAAAATTATGAACATCTGGGGCCAACACAACAACGACGACAAAGGATGTCACCGCGTTGGTTGACCCTTGTGAATCTGTGGCTGCACACAGCAAGCTTTTTCTGTGTTGAACGATGCTCACTGTATGAACTGTGTGCATGGGGGCCAATGTGTAGTCATATGGACTTTGCATACTGTGCCCATGAATGCCATCAATTGGATTGATATATCTCATTCTGAGAGCCACCTTTGACACACATCAGGATGATCAGCGTTGTGTCATATGTAGAGCATACAGACTAACATGGTCACAGGTTAGCACGCAGACACCTGGCAGGTTTGTCTCAGCCTTTGTCACTTCACACCAGATCACACTTGTAGTGCTGTGCAGGCAGGTTGCAACAACATAGTGAGATGCCAAACTGCCCTCCATCGCCAGTGAGCATCTGCGTTGTGGCATTCAGAGGTGTCTCAGCAAGTGAAATTGACAAACAATAGCACAGGACATATGCTGCGCATCAGCCTCTTGTCTAAAGACCCGTCCTCTCACCGCTTTTGCCATTGTGGTGTCGCTGAAATCTTCCTCTCTCAAGAAAACCAACTTCATGCCAGGTTGAAACAATGAGCATGAGTGACTGATGCTCACAGCTGTTTCGAGCTTGTCGCCAGTGAGCATCCACACCTTGATGCCTGCTCTAGACAGGCGATCAATCGTCTCAGGCACCCCTTCCTGAAAAGCCACAAAGACAGAGAACGTCAAGCATCCCGCTAAATTGTTCTGTCTTTTGTGTCTGCCTTGTCACGTCTCTCAGCAGAACAGTATGTATGCTTCAGCAAAACAATTGACAACCCTCCCACCTGGAGTTTGTCTTCCACGGCAGTCGCCCCAAGGAGCACCAAATTCCTTTCAATTGCATCTGCTGCCTCTTCCACCTTGGCCTCTCTCTGCACCAGTGACACACTAGCCTTGTGGTACTTGTCATACCACTCGTTGAAGAGATCCTCACTGAGGTCACGATAGGCCACTACCAGCGTGCGCAGGCCAGCACTTGCCATCTCGTTCAGGTGGTCACAAGTGGCATGGCGGTTCTGCTTTCTGTCTCCAAGCCTTGCCATAATCACTGTGTCCGCTCCCTTGCAGTACAGCCTGGACAAGCAATCCCACATCACCTCAGTCAGGATTCCTGACTCAGGAACAACATGCTACATTTAGGCCTGAGTAAAACGAAACTCCATTTTAGTGACAATGAAACTCCTTGTTCGTTGAGGAAGGTGACTGTTGTCTGTATTGGCAAGAACTGCAAAGCATGAAAGTATGCTCCCAGAATGTCCATATCTCGGGGTTCGCATCAGACCATTCTTAAGCACTGAGGGCTAAATTGTATATGGTCACGGGGAAAATGCCTCGCCCCGTACCCAATCATTTTTGGTAAAAAGGGTGTGAGTGTGTGTGGAAGAGAAGGCGGGGGGAGAAAGGAATTGTTGCTGGAGAACAGTGCACTACAATGTGAACTTGCTGAAGCAAGCAGTCAATGCCTGCACCACTTTTCCCAAGCACCAAAACCCACATTGCAGTGTCAAGGCAAGCAAGCTTCATCCTTGTGCTGTGCTGTGCACAGCAACAGAGACTCTTTCTGCTGGAAACAATGGGTCAGTTGGTTGAGATACAACCAGATAGATGGGACATGCTGTTTTTGTTACCCCATCAAGGATTTTGACTAAGATGAAGCAGATCATGCAATGGGCATTGACCTTCTGCAGAGAGCCTGCACGACTCATTTCTGCACTGTGAAGATTTGTGCATCAACTCGAAGGCTGGTAACAAACAATTCTTGGACACGCTAAAATACATTTCACCAAGCTGAAAAGTTAGTCACCTGATTTTGCCGTTGGGCAGCCGGCAGATAATGCTCATCCTCTTCCTGGCACTGTTGAACTCCAACACTGCCAGTACTTTAAGGTCTACCCTCTGGCCAAGTACCTCCAGTTGCACAGCATCCACAGAGCGTGCCATCAACACGTAACCCAAGTACCTCGCACCTTTTACCAAGGCCTCCTCATCAGGTGATTCTGCCTGGGTGCAGGAGTGGATCAAGTGATTAGCCAGCACCCTTGACAACTGACAGGGAAAGGGAATAAACACACCACAGCACACCACAAACCAAACCACAGCAACTTTGGCTTATGTACTCCAATTTCCAGGCTGGGACACAATAATGCTGTACCTCACAGTTGGGAAGCTGCAAATATGAAATAGACGAAGCAGTGTATGCTGCCGTTGATAGTGTGCCCCACATGGATCGTATATAGCAGTTGTATGTCAGTATTGAAAAAGATTTGACAAAACAGAACTCTTAAGTTCACCTGGTACACAGGTTCATTGTCATCTCCCGCTGATGGCACCACTGTGTTGCACACGGCCAAATGGAAAAAGAAATCCCCTGTCGCGGTGTCCACTCCTCCTCTCTGTCAGCACGCACATCACGTATCAGACCCAATGAGCCACCGCAAAACAGTTCACAGTCAGGAATGGTACATTTAAAACCAAAGATCGATTCACAGTATGTTGCCGATATGGATAAAGGACACTGCAAATGAAGAAACATATAGCAAGAAATCAAGCAAACAAGTCTTTCCCATAACAGCAACCTTCCATACAACACAGGCACTTACTGACTCCTATTCTTGTACTGTACATATTTCCAGCTTATGATATGATTTGAGCAATATATCAGGACCTTTGGCCAACTTCCTTTTGCCCATCTTCCTGTCTGTTCTCCTGCTATCCAGCCCAAGTCAAACACATGGAGATGTGCATTTCGACTTGCACCATACAGCAACAGTCTGTACCATTTGGAACGTGTGCAGGTTATCATATGCACCCCAGGCACCAGCAAGAACAGGTTTGTCGCATGTTTTCCTGTCACATGTTTTCAAATAGATACTTCATGCATACACATCGCCTCCCAACACAGTGTTTTTTGCCTCCTCCACAGTCCCCAGGAAGACCATTGTCCAAGTGTCCCTACTGCCTGCTCCTAATTTCGTTGCTCGACACACTGTGCAAATTCTGTGGCTTTACACCCCAACTGTCCTCTTTGCAAACAGTAGGCCACTTGCCTTAGTTTGCTGGTATCTCAAAAGAGGAAACACAGACACTGATCCTCCACCCACCTCCTTCTGTGGCCTGCGGGAGGACCTCCTCTCGATGGACGTCCGCAGGTTGGGATCCAGTGCAATGGAGTGTGGCGTGTCGAGTTTAACGCCTTTGGCTGGGTTGAGATCGCCAGCCACATCTCTGCTATCTCTGCCATACAAGTGGCCACCGATGCTGGCCCACACAAAGCCCATCACATTCTGAGTGAGGGTACCTGCAGATTGGTCAAACACGTGCACACCACCATGATCAACAAAGTTGCCCATTCAAACCACTGGGAAGTGCTTGCTGTGGCTCTTGGCTGTGTGGCATTTGTCTATTACCAGTGTGATAAGAGTGTTCAAAACGTTGACCCCCAGGAACTGGCGCTGCCTCAGTGCAGCTGAACTGAATGATAACACGAACTGACAATTCCAACAGAAAGCATTATGAGGGCAACAGAGGCTGTGCCATCCACTACAACCAACACATCTGCAGCGCCGGCCACAGAAATGGACACAAAGTGGTGTGGGGGATCACCTAGTGCACAACACCACTAGTCTGCACAGTCCACAGCCTGGAACCTCCATCAGGTGACCTGCAGACAGTTGCTACAGTTTGCCCAGACATGTCTTGAAACAGTCGCCCATTTCGGGTTTCAGGACCAGCATGCATGTCAAGGCATTCATGCGGCAAACTGTGCCCTGTGGCGCAGTTCATTCTTTGGAGTACCAATTATTCCATTTGAATTCCCATGCCCTTGTTTCCATCCTTAGCATTGCCAACTTCTGCACGTTCATTCCATGCAGCTTGTAGGTGCCCAAATGCATTTGCTGGCTGCAAGAAAGGGCACAACTTCGGCAGAAATACCTCTTTCCCTTTCGCATATACTGGTGCAAGCATCCAACTGCCCTGCCACCCCAGGTCATCTTCAACTGGATGCAACCATGGAGCATGCCCAAAACAACAAGCAATCGGAATTCATCATCATCAACTGCCAACTGTCCTATTGAACTACGAACCATACAATGTGGTCGCATTATTTCTACACTGGCATGTTGGCACCATTGTTACCCGGCGTATGTTAGCCTGTGTCAGGGCTTTTTCAAATCACAGTGTTTACCATCTATTCTCAGTATAGTATTGACATCGGCTCTGCCCTGCTCACCCGTTTTGTCTGACAGCACATACTCCACTTGGCCCAAGTCCTCATTCAGTGTTGTAGTGCGGCATTGAAATGGTGTGTCAGTGTCCTCATGGTACATTTCCAAGTCCCAGTTCAGAAACAAGCACTGCGCGACCTTCACCACCTCCAATGTAACATACAGAGATATGGGAATCATCACGTTGATGAGGATAACGAATCGCAAGAATGTCACCAAGGTGCCCTCCACACCGGGTCCGAACTCGGGCCAACCCGAGGTGCCCTCCAGATAGTAGTCGCCATTGTGCTGACGCAGCCAGATATCACGGCCGATGGCGCCACCCGCTGAAAACAGTATCTGTGCCAGCAAAATTGCAGCGATCAATTGTGTTTCCATGATTATAGCTTCCCACAAACAGGGTGTCGACCTTCCTTGGCATTCAAATTCCCACCACTGACAAAGTGCGTCCAGTTGCCACAGCCACACGTGGGGCAGAGCAGTGTGACCACATCAACATTCTTCCACTATACCACGCCAAGATGGAAAGAAACCTTTTGTGTTCATCCGGTGGCTGCAGAACTGTTTGCAGGACACAGTATGATTCTACCTCCTCTTCGATAGCCAGCTGAGAGAAACACCTGGGCACCTGGAAATTGTGTGAAAGCTCAACTCACGGGCGCAGCAACTCACTGCCAATATCACTGCCCTTCAACTCAGAAACAAAGCCCTGGAGGGACAGCCAATTTCTCAGCTCATATCTGTTGGGGCTATCAGGCTGACAATGTTTCTTGCCCCATGACGATCACCAAGACCACAGGTTTGGATGCTGATGGGGACTCTTCAAGTGGCCAGTGGACAAATGTCAGATTTGCATACAGTAGTGGTGTTTGCATCGCAGCCTTTTGAGTTTCAGCGACAACTGGATTAAGAACCTCTTGTTGCAGCTGGCAGTCACCTACTGTTGCAAAACAACATTGCAGTGCTGTCAGCCACATCGACTAGCAATCGCTAGTTGGAATACAAAGTCACCAATCAATCATGAATGATTTTGACACCTTGCAGCAAAATACTTTTAACAAACAAGAGCTGGGCTGCTGTTGCCTGCCACTCCCACCTGCACAGCGAAGACCACAAGGACCAGCATATTCATGTGGCGTTCCAGCTGCGTGACTTTCCGAGGAGCAGCACTCTGGTTGCGCCGGATTTTGGTGTGCTCACCCGAAAAGACCACTGCACCGATTATCCACTCTGTCTTTCTCAGGGTGGAACCGCGCAGCAGCAGGTTGGAGGCATCCAGACCTTCTTCCCTGCTTCCCACCACTGCACCCTCAAACTGGATAGGGAGACAAAGAAACTCTTACAAGTGAGAAGGGCCACTTTTGTAGGGCATTTCTGGCTAGGGCAGAGCCAAACAATAGAATGCATGGACAAAAACCCTCTCAACAATGAGTGCCCTCAGCATGACCTTTGCCCATCAAGGCATCCTAGAACTGAATACTGAAGAAAGTTATTGCAGGAATGGGCATTCGTACATCGCATGCTTGGGTTGGGAGGGGAGAAAAGATGAGATACACAACTGCAGTTCATTGTTGCCAAGATACAATCAACACCAATGCAATGGCAGTGAAATTGATGTTCAAGTCACAGTGCAAAGGAGGCACAACAGCAGACACCTGATACACACTGGTCTTACAGAATCTGCACAACTGCTGCAAGGCAGCTTTACCTGGTACAGTTTCTCGTTCGGGCATTCACACTCCAGCCGCTTGCCTCCAAGCTCCTTTGCTAACTGCTCCGCCTGTTGACAAGCCTTGGATGCTGGATAGCAGTTCTTCAATTTCAGGTTTGTTTCACCATCCAAGTTAGCAGTCTCCACCCAGCACAGGCCATCATCATCAGGGGATGAGAGGAACAGTAGGTCAGCTGGGAATTCCTGATCTCGCACCACCTTCACAATATCTCCAACCTGGAGGTCATCGAGCATGTCAAAATTGTGGCAACTGACGAAAATTGTGTCCAATTCAGGGATGAACAGTTGTACTACCTGATTCACTCATTTTACAATGGAGATACACTGGGGAATACATGCATAATCTTGTGCTTGAACGCTGACCGAATCAAGTGCCCCCGGCAACCAAACACCTGTAGCATCAGAACTTGCAGCAGTGTTGAAACACAGCACAAAATAGTGCAAAACTGAAGCGAATCCACTGAAATTGTGGATCGGTGAACTCGCTTCAATATTTCAGCACTTGGCTGCCACCACGATCTGCCTGCCGTCATCCGGCAGTGAATACAGTCGTCCCAACCATGACAAGGTGCAGGAGATGCTGGCTACTGTTCACAATTGCACAATGTGCTTTTGACACTTGTACCGAATCCCCAGCAGGCAGCCCAAAGTACTGCAGGCGCGCCACAAACGGAGGTGAAGCGATACCTCACAGGAATCCCGAGGAATTGAAACTGCAGTCCATGTCCCCAAGAATGACACCAAGGGTGCTAGGGCCTGGAGTTCAGCGCCCAGGTGTCGCAGTGCATCAGAGATTAAGGTCGCAATGCTTGAGGAACTTGAACGGAAGCGTTAGACATTTGCTGGAAATGTGCCTTTCCAGAAACCTAGTGGAGTCTTTTAAGGTTCTTTGGGGTCCGGACCTCCCCAGTGGTGTCCTGAGTACTGGAGCTGGAGTGCCCTGGTATGAGCTGCAATTCCATTCCCTGGTGCATCGCTGCTCCAAGTCCCTCTCACCCTCAGGTCCCTCCATTTCGAGCGCACAGGCCGGCTTCCAACGACCAACACATCCACCTCCCGGTTGTTCACCTCCCCATCGCTCTTGTGCCGATAGTAGTCATCATAGATCTCTTTTGCAGCATTGATGCTCAGCACGAAAACCAGGGGGGCGATGGTTGTGATCCAGTGGGTGGGGGACAGCTGGGGGATGAGCTGCAAGGCGGCTATGAAAAGAAAATAGAGGTTGGCGATCCTGCTGAACTGCTCAAACAGGTTGATGAACAGAAAGCTATAGAAGGTGTACTTGGCAGTGCGGACGTAGTTAGTGGGGAATTCAGACTTCTGCTTCTTGTTGCGGGGCTCTGGATGCAGCCGGAACGGCACCGTGCGGACGTCGCCTTTCAGGGGCTGGTGGTGGAGGTGGGAACGTTGGGATCGTATTGAAGGCAGGGAGGACAGCGTCGGCACCTTCAACAGGCAGAGACACAAACCAGAAAATTAAGGCAAAGATGAAAATCGTGGAGAATTGATCCATGTTGATCTCAATTGGTCATTCACAAATTCCCATCGGTTGCCTGCCATTCAGGCTTCCAATGCACAGGAGAGAGACTGGCATCCGCTGCATTCGTTTAAAAACTTAATTGTGTTGCCCTTTTGATCTTTGCACAAGACATTGCAAGGCTACTTTGCCACCGGTTCATGCAATTCCATACCGATTCGCTCCTTCTGTGCATCTGCATTGTCAAGGAATGGGTGCACCTCAACTCTTAATAATCACAGGAAGAACTTTACATTGGACAAGGAATCCTTTGTAGTTCAAACATAAGCAACTAAAGTTGTACCTCTTATCACGTACAGCATGACAGCTGAGGCCATGTGAAGCAGGACAAGAATCCTCTGTTCGGACCCAGCAACGCTGGTTGTGAGGGGTGTTGCGACAGGGCGCGAAAACACAAGCCGAACTCATAATGGACAAACAAAGGTGCAAAATTGAACAATGCTACAATACGATCGAACGCTGCTTCCATTGATGCCCCAAAAGGTGGTGTTCCATTCCCCTCAGACAGCACCCCTCAGCATGGAATGCCACAAAAAGTCAATCTCCATGTGACAGATCAGTGTCTCTCAAGGCTAACAAGCTGAGAGATGGGCCCAAATCAACGATAGTAAATGCGTGTTCTCCCTCTAATAGGCTGCAGGGTCCCATTTCTCAGTGCGGGAGCATGCACAAACAGTGCCACAACACAGCCTTCATGGCAGCCAGCCATGACATTGGTCACATTCCTCATAGACTTCACACACATCTGCATTGCAGGCCCACTCACAATCCAGCTAATCCCTGGCATCAGGCATAGGGAGGATTGTATTCTGGTTTTTGGTTGTTCCACGCCCATACAAATGCAGCCAGTTGCGGCCGTCAGCAACGCGATGTGTCCTGTGTTTTTTGCGTGCATGCTTCCTGTCGCATAAGACAAATGCTGTCTACACAGACATCGATGTCTACTGGCCTCTCTGGGTACCAGACAGACGCTCTGTTTTATTGGCAGGTCGTTTTTGATCAGAGGGAGGACATGCTGCCATTGATTCATCCAAGCAGCGGTTTGACCCCCTCTGGGGCAGTTGGCTGCAATGTCAAGGCACTGAGGTGCAGATTACCTTGCCAGCAGGTCCATCAACGTGAGGCGCATACAGTTCTACCCAACCTTAGTTTCACTTAATTTAGGGCCAGCCAACACAAGCAAACACCCAACAAGGAGCAGCACGATGATCAAGAAGCGATGCAGCCAACAGTTCTTTGCAGCCTTTGGCACCCACCTGTGACATCTCCAGTCGGAACGACGTCTTGGACGTCTGGAGGGCCCGGGGCGCCCTCCGCTCTCGCCCCCCGCCAGCGCTGCCCCTTTCCCAAGTCGCCACCAGAGATTAACTCCTGGACACCAGAGCTGTTCGCATGGGTGCCCACAACGGGCGGAATGCAGGAGGCCCAGATAGGAGGGCTGCGATCCTTCCGAGGGGCAGCAAGCGGACAGGCAGACGGGATGTCCGGTTGGGAACGCTGCACGACTCGCGACGCTGCACGCGCAGCGCTGTCAGCTCGCGTGGGATGGGGAGGGCGGGCGGCGAGCGAGGGCCCGGTCAACAGCCGCCCGCGAAGGACGGCACAGAGCCCAACGCGCATTGCTCAGATCGGGTCCAAATTACCACAGCACTCACAGCACACGAGTCCAAGTCCCGGCGCACTACCTCGGCGGACAGTACCACGACGCGCCTTCCCGCGACCCCTCCCGCGCGCAGCGGACCCTCGCCTCATCGTCCCGCAGCGGACTTCCCGCCCGTTCCCGGCGGGCATCGCGGCTGTGGCTGGCGGTCAACACATCGCCGCGCCCGTGAAAATCCACGGCATCCGACTGACCCACCCAGCTGCCTCGAAGACGCCGGCACCACCTGCCGACCCCCGCGCGCTCCGCGTCCCCAGAGTGTGACGCACGTTGAGTGTGAGTGACGCTCACCTTTCGCCCCCGCTCGCGCGGAGTCACCACTGCGAGGCCCCCGGATGAATTCCTCGCAGAACGCGATCCGCCTGCGGTCCCCGCTCCCCCCAAAGTCCGCCCGCCGATCGGGACCGGCCAGCGCTCCCGCCCCGCGGCTGCCACCAGGGTGGGCGCTCGGCAATGCCCAGTCCGGCCTGGCCAGGACGGACGCCGGGTCTAAGGTCCAAATCGTCCGCGCACAACCTCGGCGTTTGGCTGCTGCGCCCGCAGAACAGTACGTACGCGGCCTCGCCTGGCCAAGCCTGTTCACTACCACTTGCGCGGGGTCTTCCTTTTGCCCGGGAGGCCGTACGGCAGGGATCTGCGGAGTCACGGGGGTGGGGGGGGTGGAGGGGATGATCGGGGGGAGGAGGCCCGGGGGGTGGGACGGAAGGAGCAGGGCTGAGGCCGGGGGGCTCGGGGGCGAGGCGCCAAGCGCACTGCGCGACTGGGGCCGGGGGTTGGCCGGAGTCAGCGGGCTGGTTTTCGAGGGAGCCTGGGACGCGCCGAAGTGGCCCTGCCGCGGCGGCGGGTTCCGAGGGCCTCACAAGGGCCGGTGGTAGGTTAGTGATGTCATGCGTGACTAATGTGCGGGCCCGAGCAGTCACTCTCGAGGCACAACAAACCTGGTCGACCGGCCGGGGTGGCGGACGGGCGGAACCCTGGGGCGGGAAGTTCGCCGGAACTGGCCTCTCTGGTGATGCTGTTTGCGATCGCGCGGGCCCCCGCCGCGTAGCCGCATTAGGAATGAAAACAGGGCATGTACATGCGGATTACACGTGTGTAGTGCGCCTTGATTGATTGAAAATAAATGGGGTTAACTATCTTGTTAATGGGTTTCCGGCCAGGGCGACGAGGGGCGGGCGCGCTGGCTCCAGCTGGACCAGTGCCACTTAGGTATAGTTGTTTTGGCGGCCCCCGCGGTTTCTGTCCCCCTGTACCTTGGGGGTCAGTGGCCAGTTCGTCGCGTTCAAGGAGGGCCAGGGGTTTTTGGCGCCCTTGGGAGTGACGGGCTTTGGCGCGAAGCGAAACAAGATGGAGTGGGGACCGAGGGGTGAGCCTACACAGCCTCCCCCGCTCACGTCCGCCAAACATTTGGCACAGCCCGGACCCACAGAGTGGGTCTTGACCTCCGGCTCTTCGCCGAGTTTCTTCCCTATGAACCCCTCCCCTGCTACCTCAGGTTGTATAAGGGACAAACAGTGTGGTCTTTGTAATGTATTGGTCCAGTGCGTGTGTGGACCTGGGCGGGGCAAGGAGCCCGGCTTGGCAGAAATGACTGAAACGTGAGGGAGCTGCATCAGACCACTGTTTAGTTGGACGAAAACAGGGC